ATGTGSTATCAAAGGAGGTAATTGTAAATTACTAGTGTCACAGGAAAGTTTATATATTTATAATGTAAATTTTGTCTATAATAATTAATTTCTGTAAACAACAGTGATTAATTAGTGACTAACTGATTTATTTAAATATTAAATAAAAACARTTGGTGTAAGGGTACGCCTTAAACTTTTTAAAAATGGGTAGGTGTGTTACTTTTTTTAACTGCTTGTGCTCTCAAAATACCTCTGTGCTCTACTGTATATTATGTGCATACATACAAGGAACWATTCATCGGATTTACATTTAAACGAAGCAACATTGTTCTTGTTAGCTTTAATTCTATCTACATAATAATTATAGTAAATTGGCAAATCTTCATACATAAAGGTAATAATATTACTGAGGGCAAGCATACCGACACTATTTTTTTGTTAATTCTGATAAGTTTATTGAAACAAACAATCAATATTATCTTTCTTTAAAGTAATTWWRATAATGTAAACTATTGTTTTTAAAATTATCTTAATAAAATATTGTCCATCTATCAAATGTATGACTTATTTGAGTTTGTACTTTGTATTATTCAATTAATGTGTACAAAAGACTTTGAAGTACTTCTTTATGCAAGTTAACAATTATATTTTGGAACTGTAAGTGCAATCTTGTTTAACTGATGAACATCTACAATCCTTTTTGAATTATTGGTGTTATACCTTTTACCCCTATTACTAAAGGTTCAGTTAGGTACAGAAAAGTCAACACAAATTTATTTCTAATGAAAATAAGTATTAATATAGGTATAATGTATTTATAATTAAGTATGGTTTTTATAAATATATTTTTTCTTTTTAAGAGAACACTTCACACACATATGTTGTCTTCATCTTACAATTRAGTAACATAACAAATTGTACGCTCATCAATAGTGCGATAGTGCGCTGATATCCTCTTAATTTATCATAATATAATTAATTAAATTTAGTTTTAAATACCTAAGTGTTTATATTGTTAATAATCACCTTGCTAAGAATCTAATAAGTCTTCACACAATTTATTTTATTAACAGCCAGTTATATATTTAAAGCCGATATAAATTTTAAATCCTGATGGGCCAAAATTACTCTATTCTACTTGTACAATTGTGAGACTGAGACTATACATGAAGGTGTGGCATCATCTTCTTATTTATTTTTCTCATACTCTTGTTCTAACATTTAAAATACAAATAAATATTCTAAAAACATAAGAATTTAAATTGAAAAAATTGGTATTAAATAAAAAAGATTGCTTTAAAAATCTGCTTTGAGATTCACATTTAAACCATTAATTTTCCTTCGTTCACCCAACACCTTATGTCACACTTAATTATACCACAAAAAATAAATAATATAATACTCAAATATGTGGATTTCACAATAATTAGGTATCAGTAACTACTAATCATTATAAGATTCAGAATTAGACGAATTATATCATTTTATCAAGCTTATATACATTTTAATGCTTAATTTACTCACATTTGACTGTTTAAATTTTGTTGCCTTCAATTCCGTGAAATGTATAGTTATAGAGCTTACAGTTGCTTCATTAACTACTCATAAAAAATAAAGTTGAACATCTACAACATTCAAACTCTTATAATTATCATAAATATTCATAATAATGTAATATATTTAAATTCTATATTTTGCTTGAAATTAAAAGATTTTGGAAGACCTTCAAAAATGATATTTTTTTTGATTTGTATTAATAGTGTTATAGATCAAAAATACAATTTTCCGATTCATCCATAATCTTTCTTTTCAATGAAAGATAGGTATTTATAAAAAAGATTCCAAGTGTTCTACTTACTAATTTGCATTACATATTTTTTTATGTGTTTAATGAGTCTTATTGAAATGTCCTCATATCTTAAATTTGACAAAAGCTATTATTATTATTATTATTATTATTACGAGTATTAAAGGTAGTTTTACTGTAGATAATTACAAGACTGTTACTATCACTGAAATGTCTGACCTAATGATTGGAGTATAGTCTTAGATTTTTATGTAGTTCAAAAGACAGTTGATCGTATTCAAATAATTATCTACCTATTAAACAATTTAGAAGACACTGTTAACAGTTTTAAATCATTAAATCAAAAAGAACATTGGTTAATACCATAGACCTTATACTACTATGGTTAATACCAATGGGGTATTGATTGAGAAACAGCCAATATTATACCTATTTTGAATGAAATAATAAACTTTTTCTCCTTGTGTAAAAAATAAGGTGTTATTATAAATTTATAACTATATTTGAATTAAACTGAATAATTAATCATTAATAATYACTCATATAAATAAGTAAAATTATAATAATATTTAAAAAGTATGTTATTGTCAATTATTACAATTTGTCAGATATYCAATTAAATGATTTTTTCATTTCAAAAAATTGTAGTATTCGACATTAATTGTTATAATATGGTTGTTTCATCATAATTTGATGTTCAATAGAAATGAAAAAACTGAACAACATTGTGAATTTGTATATTTTMCCAAAATTTTTAAATTATAGTTTTATTATAGTTTGAGGTTTCGACTTATCACTGTCAAATAAAATTCTGTTAATAATATAAACGTATTCATCGATCAAACTTTCATCTCATTCAGAGTGTTTACAATACTATTATGTTACTCATAAATTGAAAAATAACTAATTTTTCTATTGGCAAATGTGTGGRTTGCACATTTAATGAAACTTGCATCTGAACATTTTGCTGTTTTTGAAGGGTYAATGCATACATTTCTACAATTAGTTCGTTTTTAGTTTCACGCGAAGTTTCTGCAACAAATATTTATAACRAATATCTTCAATTTATTTGGCCGTATGARGTTTGAAATGTCCGATTTTCCCTTGTTTTCTGAGGGTGGGTGTCCTAACACTCCCAATCGTTGAATCGTCCCGACAACATCATATTTTATTCAGTATCCCATTTACATGTTGTTAAGTTTGCAACACTGCGGCGTATGGTCACACCTCAACAGACATGGCAATGTTTGATGTCGGATGCATGGGAGTACTGAGTTCTGACTGATGCACTAATGCTCAACTGTTTTTGTTGGTACATTTTCATTTTATGTTGAACATTCCCTCTTGTCAGTCGTCCGGATCAAGTCCTTCGAGGTTTTTTTGACTGCGGTGTTATTGATTTATGCGTCTCTAATAGTCCACTAGTGAGTAACTAGGTAATGTACCTTTTATGTATTCTGATATTCAAYGTATATTCTTTGGCCGTTGGCGGTGGTAAGAAAAATTGTTTAGATATGGCTAAATGTGAGTTGGATAAAAACACGTGTTTTTCCGACCTCGGTAATCTCGGTTGTTCYCATTTCACAAATATAAAATATTTCTGCCCACTGCGGATATAATCACAGCTAGTAGATAACATGTTAATCACTTTATATTAATCTATAGATAATTAAAATAACATTATAGTAAATATTTAATATTACGATATTCCCCGAGAAAATTTTTCTGACATTAACCTAACGTAAATGTAAACGTAATTTAATTTCTTAGTTAGTATGGACTTTGATCACACTAATTAAAAATAAATTACCCATATTAAGAATTCTATTTTAATAGCCGAATAGATAATATACAGAAATCTAAAACCAGCTTAAAAATACTGGTAGGTTCTTGATAGGGTCATGTAGTAGAGTAGGTATCAAAAATGAAAAAAAAATACGTAATTGACAACTCAATTATTTTTTTAGGTAATTTGTTAAAAGTTAATGTTTTCAACTTAGTTATGAATAAAAGTAAGTACAGCTGTACTTATAATCTTTGAACATTAAATAATATATAATTCATTTTTTTCAAACATTATTTTAAGTTTCTAACAAATATTTTTATGCTAGTATTTATTTTAAAACTATATGATTAGCTATATTGTAGAATTTCTTTTTTGGTACAAAAAAATGTAACCAAGTATCACCTCTATCAAATAACATTAAGTATTTAACCTATCGATCTATTAATAAGTTTAATATATTTTCAACTTAACCTTTTTTATTTATAAATTATTAGACAATAAACAAAATATTGAATATTCAAATACTTATACAAATGTAATTTAATTTAAAAAATGTAATAGTTCTAGCCTTTAGGTGTTACRTGTATATTGTAATTAAATTTTTTAACTATAAATTAGGTTGGTATAATGCTTAATTAAGCAAATATAAATTACTAATACAAAAATGTTCTTCATCATACTTGTGCATAGGTTATATTTTCATATGTCTGTATAGTCTGTTAAAAATTAAAATTTATCAATAATAACAAATACTGTGACAAAAAATAATCATGGAAAGAATTGATAAATATTGAGCATGTTAACTATTTATTTGTGTAACTRGTTTAAAAGTATACTCAACTTCTTATGTCAGAATTGTTGTTAGTATAATTATAGATTTGTTTTCAATTAAAAATAATATTTATAGCTTAATTTAATTTAGATTATATGTTAAGCAAAGATTTGTATGTATTAAAAAGATTTGAAAAATTATATCATAAGTACAATATGCAATTAAAATCATGAAAATAATATCCAAGAAAAATCGTTAATCTGCTATAATATTTTTAAAGACTGAGAACAGTAAGAACAATTGTTTGGCGTATTTTAAAATTTTTGCTTCAATGTAATAAATTTTGAACTTTTTACAAGTATGCAATAACCAATAATTAATATACAGACATATGCAGAAAAAAAATTCTACATTAGATTAAAACTATTTTGAATTGTGAATGTAACTGACAAAAATTCAAAAAGGTGAAAAAGAAAAAAAGAGATTCTAGAAAAATCTGCGCCCTAGTTATATGTAAAATAAATTCTAAACAACTATGCAGTTGATTTTTAATTTTTATTACTGGATAACATACTGATACATTTTAAATATGTACATATAAAATTAGTTTTATTTACTAATGTAATTGTTTTTTTTTTGTTTTTTAGATTTGCATGCCAGTGAACAAAGCCAACCAGTGTCAAATTTATATATTTATCATTTTATAATAATTTTAAAATTCAAATTTCTTTTTGAAATACGTAACATTGACTTTATCAATGAAAAAATCTATGGTTTTATCAGCTTATAAACCTAGAGTATTAAGGAATGGTAAAATTGTAACTTCAAAAAAAAAAAATATAATTCAAAAAAAGCCTATTTCAAAGGAAAAGATAAACAATAAATTATCTCTTCTTAAAAAAAGCTTAAATGATACTAGTAATTTAAATGTTAAAAATAAAAATGAAATGATAATAGCTTCTAATTATAACCATATACTTGGTAACCGTAATTTATATGTAATGCTTACGAGATTACCGCCATCAATAAATAATGGAGATCTGTTTGATGATTACAATAATAACACCAATAATAAAAATTATACAAAATTAGAAGATTATATTCAATTAAATGAACTTCAAATATACAATAAGCTTGAACCAAAGATAGAAAAATGTCATATGTTAGCTGCAGCAAAAGAAAATAAACGAATAACATCAAACTCTTTTGGTAATAAAGGTGATCTAAWAGCTAAAACATGTGATGATTCACTAGTTAATCATACTCCTGATGTACGAATTACACGTGGAAAAACAATCAAGCTTCAAACAGAAGAAAGAAAACAATTAGATCAAATAATTTTTGATAAATTTCCTAAAAATACATTCAAAATGTTTGCTATTCAATTATATGATATTAACGAAGAAGTAAATTTTCTCCGAAAACTTGGATTGATATGTCGTTTTAAATGTCCTTTTACTTGTAAAATTAAAAAAAAAACATAGTTTATTTAACTTTTGTGTTGTCACAAAGCTTAATAATCGTATGTTAATTTTATTTTTAATTTAGCTAAGTAATTTTAATTATGATGTATAATAGAACAAGATTTTTAAATGTTTATTTCGTTAATAAAAATTAATTTAATATTGGTTAGGTCTGGATAAACAGCCTTTTAAGTTTAACAACTTTTACTATTATTTAATCATATATAATTACTGTGTATAATGTATTAATTAAATCATTTGTGCTGATGTTTATTATAACTTATTAGTATGATCAACTATTTTTAACTATTTGTATACAAAAAAACGCATAATATATTGGACAATATTAATTAGCTACTTTTATTTATTTCTCTGTAACTTGTATTTGTTGTAAAAATGGACGATAATTTAAAACGATCTAATTTAATTTGTTTAATTCTCACTATAATTAATTTATTTAGTTTATTTGAAACTTAACAAAGAAAAAATGTATTTTATCCTAGTAGGAATCAAAATGTATTGATTTTTGTTTATATTTACTATGACTATTATAATAAAAACTAAATATCCTGTTATTATTTATCTATAAGACTAATTGTTCGTTTATAAAATCCATCAAGCTTTCATTATTATATTTGTTATTATAGAAATATGTAATAAAAATAATTTAATTTATGTTGTTGTGTAAAGAGGCTTTAAAGCTTGATAATTTAATATTTCTGATACAATCACATCAATCCGACTCTATAACTTAACTAAAATATCTATAATTTATTTTGCTTAAAGTATTCATCTTTTATAGTTTATGATAGTGTTACCAATGATCGAAACACTAAAACCAATTTGGTTTTGTACATAAATATTCATCTACACATTAATTCAATGTGGTAGGACTAGAGTTGTTTATTCAGAGATTGTTACCAAAAGAACCCTCTATCAGTCTTGTTTAAGTTAAATCAAATTTCAATTTCACAATTTAAAACGCTCTAATTTTTTAAMCATTTATTTGAACATCATGCTGAAATAACATGTATATTTACTTAGCTTTTAAGAGACCAATTATAAAACCAAATATTGACATACAATTTCATACTATTTAAATAAATTGTCCCAATATATAAATTATAAATGATGTCCATTTAAGAGAGACTAAGCTCTATAACTAGGTTAATAAGTAATTTAAGTACAGTTTTCTAGATTTGTATAGACTAATTATCCTGTTCTAAATTCTAATTAAATCCTGAGTAAATAAAGCCTGAAACATTTTTATTTCATTAAAATTAACCAGTTATCAATCTTACATAAATGTTTGTAAGTCTTATCGTATAATATATATAGTTATACGTGAATATTTTGTATCTTATAGTAGCTATTAGCTAATACATAGCAATTGTTTTCATTATGTAATTACAAATGATTGTACACACCATGCATTTTTGTCCTTGTTGACTTGAAACTATACCGTGATTTTAGTATTTTAGTATTTATATTTACTATTGGTACCTATAATTGTTTTATTAAATTACATTAGGTTATGATAACTATTAACATAAATGTTCTTTGTGTAGATAGTATACTCGCAATTCACTTGGCTTATAGTACCGAGACGTCCATCATAATATGTTATGAATTGATTATTTTTTCTAATTGAGTCGTATCTTTGGCCTTACTATTTTTCARGGCACTAGTCCATTGTCAGACAGCATACATTAGGAACGATCTATAGGTAAACAAATTTTTGTATTTTTTATATTTTAAGAACTATTTTAGTTAGTTTTCTAGTTTTCTGACTAAGAGGACACTACACCCGCATGTGTTGTCTCCGTCTTACAAATATAAAACATTGCGAAAACTGTTTTGCGCGGGAAAGAACCACTCAAGCTATAATCCAAGCTAAGCAACCTAAATTTTTCACRCTTTAAAGAAGAGAATATTTACTGTGCAACGTTGTTATAAATTTTTCGGTGTCAATAATTCCTACGAAAAAATTTGTTATTGTTTAGGAATTCATTAATTTTGAGTTTTTCAAACTTGAACAACTTTTTTTAAATTTTATTATGGAAAGAATAAAAACAACGTTGCACAGTAAATATTCTCCTCTTTATAGTGTGAAAAATTTGGTTGCTTAGCTTGGATTACAGCTTGAGTGGATCTTTCCCGCGCAAAACAATTTCCGCAATGTTTTACATTTGTAAGACGGAGACAACACATATGCGGGTGTAATTCTGTTTAGGTACTATTAGTCACATCTAATTCACATTAAGTTTTATTTTTAATTTCTCAATAAGTAGCTGCTGAAAAAAATGTGAGCAATATAATTACTATACGAGGAAACGTATGATAGCGCAAAAGCAAAAGGCTTTATTAATTAGTTGAAAATAGTAATTTCTTGTATTGTAGCAATTAGGAAGTTTCGAGAGTAGGTAGGTACTTTTTCATTGAGTAGCTCCAGTGTCGTGTTTACGAATAGTATGGCCTTCTAGGGGGAGATTTAATGCCACCTTTTAGTAATATGTCTTCTATATATAGGCAATAGGTATGTATAATATAATATAAACCAGGGATGGCCAACTTGTGGCTCGCGAATTATCAAAAAAAAACAATATTTACTTATTAGTTATTAACGAAAAAATACGATGAAATTTCAAAAATTATAAAATGTACTTTTTAATATTTTGGCTTTTGATATCATTGTATTTATCCATGTGACTCATAGGCGCAAATTGAAGGGGGCTTTGGACATTATTTTGAAGGAGAATATTACGTATTAATCAGATTCTTATAACTATACCTAGGTCGTATAATACGTTTCTTTTTGTTGTATACAAATTGTATGCTTTCAATTTTCGTTAAACTCCTCTAATCAATTTTTTGAACTCATTTATTCTATAGTATGTATATTTTGTTTTGAAGGAAGGAGAGTAAAAACTTATGAAAACTTTCAGAAATTGATGATAACCATAAAGCGATGTCGTCAGTGAATTTTTCGAAATTATTTTGTTGTTCATTATTAGTATTTAGTAGCAGTATTTAATCGTGTATAGGTTTGATTATAATTTTGAGGTATRATTATAGTTTATTATAACATAAACTTACGACTTTATAATTCATAAATTCAATTATTTTTCTTTGTGTCGTCTAATTATTCTAATTCGATGAAGCTGATTATATTTTCCAAACTATAATTTTGAAAATTCGGTATAAAAACATCAACAATAAATCCTTATATATTTATTATTTATGTTTAAATTACCTATAGAATATAGCATATGCCATGTATGACTAATATAAATAGATATACATTGTATTATATTTTAAAAAGAGCTTGGAAATAATATAGACTTATTTATTATTATATAAGTACCTTATTACTATTATTAAGCCATAATGTTATTTTAATCGTTACAACAGAAATGCAATTTATGTATAGTTACTAGTAAGGTCAATGAATATCAAAATTGTCGTGAATTCTAAACTAAATTGAAGATTGAACATTAGTTGAAATGTAAAAATTATAAATAATAATATATAACTATAGTTCGTAAATTGAAAATATTTTACTAATGTTTGAAATAATTACAGTGTAAATGTGGAAACTATAAAATCGAAAAAAAAAGAAAAATTACCTTTTTTTTTTTTTTTTGCTGGTTGAATCGACGACGCCGCGGGAACTGCTTTCGCATTGCTTCCGCGATATCGATATATCGATATTCTACATCAATCTCAAAAAATCATGAAACCAAAAATGGGGTAGGTAACATTTAAAAAAAAAAAAAACAACATTGAACTAAATAATAAAATAAATTATAAAAATTTGAAGTCATTTTATTCACATGCATATATACAATGCTCACTGGTTTTAGTAAGTACACTGTATATAGAATAACGTATATACCTACCATATGATTACGGAAATAGTGCAATACCTACTGGCCATATTATATAGTAACTTCTATATCAATAATCATTATACAAGTTTGTTGTTAATAAATATTCCAAAAATAAAGAATTTGTATAATTTAGTTGAATAATCATATAGGTATCTTAATATAGCTCATGTTGGAGTACATGACGTGTATGGGTGTTGTGTATATATATATATATACGCCATACGGGATAGAATCATATTGTATATACATATCTATCAACAGTGTCAACTGTAAAATTATGTCCAATCAATGATATTAATACCTGTATCGTAAAATAATATATTATTTCATCATGATAATTTCTTATCTTTTACTGACTTTTTATATGATAGTTATAATTTATATTTAACAAGCATTTTTTACTGTAACACATATTTTTGTGTTCTTCAAATAAAAGGATAAATAAAAATAAAAATAATTAAATCTAGTATGTGGAGCCTCTGATCTGCATGGGCCCTGGATAAAAACTGAAATAGGTACCCATAATGTCCTTGCGTAAAATGGCCCTGGTCTTCTATTCATCTGATCCTGAARTAGCTGTGAAATTGGTGCAATGGGAGAATTCATTGCAATACGAGTATATGACCCAAAAAAAAAAAAAAATGCAAAGAAGCTTAAAATATTAAATTTCAATGAAGATATATTTCTAATTATTATTAACATACTTTATATTGGCTATTTTGCCAGTCACAACTTTGTTTCCATGTCCTTTTGAACTCTCTGACATTTGAAGAAATATTTACGTAACCTAACTGTCCAAATCATTTGGCAGTTACATTATCTAAATTTTAAATTCTTCTAATAAGAAACATGTAAAAGTGAAATATTCTTACTAGTTAACTATTTGTTTTTATACACAGGTTTATAAATATTTTTTGTTTTGCATAATAATGAAAGTTTTTATATTGATTAGTTTTAAAATACGTACATCTATATAAGTATCGTTGTATCAACAAATTACATAAATTGTATTAATTAAAGTTGTTATTTTTCATGATTCCTTCTTGGAAATTCCTGGCTACGCGTCTGATATACAGTTGCAGCAGTATAAAGGAAGACACCAC